AAAAAAAAAATGTTTTGATTCGGTTTATCTCTTTTTCAAATTTGCTTTTTAAGACTCAAACAAAAATATAATAAATAAGTTGAATCAAAACTCCAATTTTAAAGTATGCAACCGTGTTTAAATAGAGAATTGTGAGGTGCGTGTATGTCCTTCTTCACTCCTAATCGAACCCTCGAACTCCGATCTTTACGTAGACCCATTTTAGGTGACTTGTCCCACCTTATAATTTGGACGAGTGGTGACTCCCTCTTTTTTATATTTTCATACTTAATTTTTCATTTATTTTGAAAAAAATCTTAAGTGGTCGTCAACAATACGGACCGGCATCGGTCCATATATATCATTTAAAGAAACAAAAAAGCAATAAAAAAAATAAAGAAAACAGATTTATTTTATTTAATAATTACATAATATTACCAAATAATGCAAATATATATTTTACCTGTAATATCCCAAATTTTCTGAAATTCTAGCATTTAAGTTGAGGACCTTTGTGTGAGAAAATATTGTTTTGGGGTTTATTAGCCAAAATTTCCAAACTTTAGGGACTTAAAAGAGAAAAAGATTTGGATAAGGATCAGTTATTTTTCCTTCTTTCTTCCCCAACCATTTCGCGTTTCTGCTCTTCTTTTCTTTCCCCTGCACCGAGCAAGGAAGCCCATAGCCACTGACGCACTCCTCTTGAGAAAGTCGGCAAAGCTTGATGGATTTACCTTCTTTTCTTGTTGGAAGCCGAACTTAGACTTGGAGATCTCCCTTTCCTGCAGAAAATTCCAGATTTGCTTGGTGTCTCTTCCTCCCCTGTCCATCAGTTTCTGCTGGGTGTGAATCCTTCGGCTTTTTCTGGTAAACCACAGCCAAGAAATCATCTTCTTAGCCTTGATTTAACTTGGGTTACTCTAATTTTTGGTTGTGGTTCTTGAATTTTGGGTAGTTTCCGTGAGTTTCCCTGCAGATTGCTGCCGACCTTCCCCCAAACCCGCCAGCTCCAGCCATACTTGCTGAATTCTGGTATGTTGACAGCTCCTCCAAGCCCGAAATTTCATCAATTAATTGCTGAAATTGTCCATTTAGTTACTGCTTTGTGCTGTCTGAAATTCTTCTATTGTATGGTGGGATTTTCTACTAGAAGAGGGAAATATTTCAGCAGCCTTAAACCATTTTTTTAAGCTTGATTAAGGTAGAATTGGCTTGATTAAATTGCTGCCTATGTGTCCGAATTTTTGCTGGAAATAGGGAAGAAATTTGACAGTAATTAGACCATGATTTAGCTTAATTCATGTAGAAAATTAGCTTATTTTAGCTGCTGTGATTTTTGGAGAAAAAATCTCGTGAATTAACCATTGTTTTGCCAATTTATAGAAGTGCAGTTAGTGTTCATGGCACGATCACTGTTCACAGGCACTGTTCACGGGTACTGTAATATCCCAAATTTTTTTGATATTTTAGCACTTAGTTAAGGACCTTTGTGTGAGAAAATAATATTGTTGGGTCTAATAGTGAATATTTCAAAAGTTGAGGGACTTAAAAGAGAAAATAATTGGATAAGGATCGGGTGATTTTTTCTTCCTTCTTTCTTTCTTCAGCTCGCGTGTTCTGCTCTTCTTCTTCTTCCCAGCAGCTGGCAAGGAAACCCAGCCAAGTCGACAGCACTCCCTTGAGAAACCGGTAGGAAGCTTGGGGATTTCTCCTTCTTTTCTTGCTCTAGAACACATATAGAACCCATAAACTTTCCTCCCTCTGCAGAATTTCCAGATCTGTTCTGCTCTGTGTCTTCCTCCCTTGCTGTCCGCGAATTTCTGGTGGGTGGGTGGCGGAATTTTCAGGTTTTTGGTAAGAAGCAGCCCAAAATTCCTTTGTTCTTCCTTAAATTAACTTGGGTTTACTCTAATTTGTGCTTTTGGTTCTCCAATTTCAGTAGATTTTCCCCTGCACTGCTGCCAGCCTTCCCCCAAACTGCAGCTCTGGTTTTTGCTGCAAAATTCTGGTACGTTGACAGCTCCTCCAAGCTTGAAATTTCATCAATAAATTGCTGGCTGTGTTGTCCGAAAGTTTGCAGTAATTAGGGGATAATTCCAGTAGCTTTAAAGACAAATTTAAGCATTAATTCAAGTGAAATTTATGTGATTGAGTGTTAATTGACTGTTGTGAGATTTTGGAGAAAAATCCCGTGAATTAGCCATTGTTTTGGCATTTATGGAAGTGTAGTTACTGTTCATGGCGTGATCACTGTTCACGGACACTGTTCACGAGCACTGCTCACGCACTGATGACCAACACTTAAGGGGGATTAAATGATTAGTTTGTAATATAAGAATAAATTTGGAAATGTCTGGTCATGTGGAGATTGATAGGAATAGCATCGTGATTAAGGGGTAGTCATGATGATTTCAATTTGAATTTGTGGTAATGCGGTATTAATTCTCGGATATTTTGATTAGGTTCTTGATCCTTGGGGTACTTTAGTACGTGAATTGAGTGCTCGGTTTTATGCGATTTGAGGTAAGTAAATTTATGGTAATGCCCGTACAGTTTTTAAAAACATGTTTTGACTTGTTTTTGAAGTGGTAGCAAGACTAAACCTGTTTTATACAAAAGTAAGTGTGACTGATTTGAAGTGAAATTTTTATGCTTTTCATTAAATTGAGCATGCCTACTTGAAATTTAATTGATTGTCCTGATGATCTGAAAGTGATTGGTGAATTATGGTTTTTCTGTTAACTTCTGCCTGTTTTGTCTCCGATGTGGTCATGTTATTAGTGACCCTACTAGTGGGGGTTATAAACGCTAGCACATGTCGACATGTTATTGATAGAACCGGTTCGTTCGAGTGACCTTGCTAGTGGAGGTTATACACCAGCAAATAGTGTAGCCTGCCAGTGGGAGGTTTAAAACACTGGCCATGACCTATAGAGGAGACATCTATTTTATTCCTGTACTGTATCCGTTTTTCGTGCTTACACTTGTTGGCATGCTATAAGTTTAATAAGGGGCACTCCATATTTTGCTTACTGAGTTTATCTCATAGTTTTTCCTTGTCCACCATTTTAGGAAGCGAAACCGAGGATGGGGAAACCACGGGAAGTGACGAGTTAGAAGGCTAGCCATTCTAATTGGATATAAGTTTTAGATTTTATCATCCTTTTGTAAGATAGATTTTACCTTGAATTTATGAGATCAAAACAGATTTCGGTTATTAGATCAATTACTTGGATTTAAGTCATTTTGGATATAGAAATAAATTGAGATGTTTGATTTAAGTTATTGGATTGTCAGATGTGAATTAGATAAGTTTCGAGCCTTGTGCATTTGTAGGACCCTTTCACGAGTGCATGGCGTCTGCCATGTCCCTGAATTTGGGTTTTGGGGCGTGACAGATTTAGTGGTATTAGAGCTTAGGTTTAATCAGATTTAGTGGTATCAAAGCTTAGGTTTAAACTAAGAGCCTAGGATTAAATTAAGCACCTCCAGATTGAGCGGTATCAGAGCTTAAGTTTAATTGAATACCTAGGTTTAATTGAATACCTAGGATTTGTTTAGAACTTGGCTGGCCAGTGGATTTTAGAACCGTGGTGAGATGAGTGATGGGGTTATATAAGGGACGATTCTTATTCATGTTGCTTGAATTTTCTAATCCATTTAATAAAATGGTAATCTGATTGTTCTTGTTTCCTACCTTCATACCTTGTGTAGATTTATGAAATTAATCTTGTCCGCCATGTTCTTAAGACTTTGTTTTGAAACTTGGTCATTTTCTGATAGTCTGAACTTGTTTAGACTTGTTACTTGAATAGAATTTTTGTATGCTCTTTTGCCACAATTGTAAAATCTGGGGAGTTGCAGAGATCTTTTGTTATTGATCTTGTTGATCTCTACAGCATAGCTGGTTGAGAAATTTGTTCTGTTTGTCACAGGACCAGTGGAAGACGGGCAACCCTCTACTTGTAAGAGATTCAAGGCCATTTTAGCAAATGTTGTGTGTTTTCTAGATGTGTTTTAGGAGCTGGATAACTTGGTAATTTCGCTACTCATTATCTTTTTGAAAGTCTTATAGTGAAATTTCACTTTTTCCACTTGGAGCTTCATGGTTTTTTCATATGGCTCATTTTTCTATATTGGTTAATCAAAAATAGTGATCAATTCAATTGAAATTGTCTTGTTTTTGTGAAGATTGGCAAGCTGTCATAAAGTTAAATTCTTTATTGTTGCTGATCTCTACATTCTTGATTCCTGGAACTGCTTGAAACTCTTGAAATCCATTTTGAATCTTTCTTGAGATTGCTTTGTACTTGTTCTTGAAACTAAAATCCAAAGGAAATGGATAATGATTATTGAAATCCTCATTATCTTGATTCTTGTCTGAAATTAATTCTTGCATTGTTATTGGAACCTTGTCTTGAACCTTGCCTGGAGTAAAGTTATGTTAGTATCCTTTTCTTAAAAATCAATTGATATTTGGAATCTATTTTGAATTGTCCTTGAAAACCATTCTTGTCCTGACCCTTGCTCTTGTTCAAATTCTATATATTGCTCTTGCTCAAATCCTGCATATTCTGCTAGTTCTTGTTCTAGTATACCTATTGATCTTCTCGATTTTGATTTTGTTCATATGGACACCTCTTTAGGAGGGGTGATGATTATTAGAAAATACCTATATGAGGCATCCTAAATTCTTGTCTCTTGCAAGTGTTAATCTCTGTATTCTTGATGCCTTAGCTTTGACTTGACTTTAGGATGTCTAGGATGACTTAATTGTAAATTTGCTTAGCCTCCATGGGCTACGAGGTGAAGGGGTAGTTTTTGAAGTACTTGATGCCCTAGAGTTTTATTCTAAGAGAACTGGTTCTTTTATCTAGCTGCTTTGATTTTTGTTTGCCCTTTTAATTAGAAGACAGAAATCTTTTAAGTATCTTGATCCCCACTATTGATTATTTTGTTAATTAATTCGTGTTACTTGGGGTGTTAGATCTTGACATCCTGGTTATATTTGCTCTTAAATCCGTGTTCTGGTTGTCATTATTGAAATCTCTTTTGTGGGCCTAATCCTTGAATTCTATTGTTTGTTTCATGGTTAACTCTTTGTCTCTCGATTTTGACTGCTTGGTTAAATTTGATCTTGATTATTGGTGAATGTCGTTTTGTTGCTGAATTTTTGAGGCATTCTACCTTGCACTCTTATGTTCCAGGATTCTTCCAAGCATTCATATTTTCCAGTGATTTCATTTTGATGCTATTCTGAAAATTTCACATGTCATTGATGGGTCTAGCTTTTAACTCTTGTTAATTGTTAAAATTTGTCTCTTGATTCCAGTTGTTTGTTAAACATGATCTTATTGGTTAACCTTGTTTTGTGGCAGAATGTATAAGGCATCCATGAACTTGTTCATTCATTCATGATCCATATATCCATTGGATGCTTATCTGTCTTTGATAGAGTTCAAAGTTTTGTTGTACTCATCTTTAAATCCATGCCATTTTTTGCCAACTCGTCTTGTGTTGGGTTTATAGCGTAACCCCACAACTATTCTTTTGTGGCCTTGGCAGGATTTATTTTTATTTCTTGTGCTTCCCCATATCACCCTAGCCTCCAATAGCTTGTTTCATGGTAAATCCTGTTAAGTAGTTAATGTTCTGCTCTCATAATTAGAAGTGGTTTGATATCAAAGTGGCGCAGCGGAATCGTAGTAGGCCGTGTTCTGTTCATAGAAAGTCGGTGGGACATTTGTTTTGTCTTGGCTTGGGTGAAGCCATTCACCACTTGAAATGATCCTCAATTTGAGTTTTGGGGACAAAACTCCTTTTTAGGAGGGGTGAATGTAATATCCCAAAATTTTGTGATATTTTAGCACTTAGTTAAGGACCTTTGTGTGAGAAAACAATATTGTTGGGCCTAATAGTGAATATTTGAAAAGTTGAGGGACTTAAAAGAGAAAATAATTGGATAAGGATCGGGTGATTTTTTCTTCCTTCTTTCTTTCTTCAGCCCGCGTGTTCTGCTCTTCTTCTTCTTCCCAGCAACTGGCAAGGAAACCCAGCCAAGCCGACAGCACTCCCTTGAGAAACCGGTAGGAAGCTTGGGGATTTCTCCTTCTTTTCTTGCTCTAGAACACATATAGAACCCAAAAACTTTCCTCCCTCTGCAGAATTTCCAAATCTATTCTGCTCTACGTCTTCCTCCCTTGCTGTCCGCGAATTTCTGGTGGGTGGGTAGCGGAATTTTCAGGTTTTTGGTAAGAAGCAGCCCAAAATTCCTTTGTTCTTCCTTAAATTAACTTGGGTTTACTCTAATTTGTGCTTTTGGTTCTCCAATTTCGGTAGATTTTCCCCTACACTACTGCCGGCCTTCCCCCAAATTGCAGCTCTGGTTTTTGCTGCAAAATTCTGGTATGTTGACAGCTCCTTCAAGCTTGAAATTTCATCAATAAATTGCTGGCTGTGTTGTCCGAAAGTTTGCAGTAATTAGGGGATAATTCCAGTAGCTTTAGGACAAATTTCAGCATTAATTCAAGTGAAATTTATGTGATTGAGTGTTAATTGACTGTTGTGAGATTTTGGAGAAAAATCCCATGAATTAGCCATTGTTTTGCCATTTATGGAAGTGCAGTTACTGTTCACGGCGTGATCACTGTTCACGCACTGATGACCAACACTTAACGGGGATTAAATGATTAGTTTGTAATATAAGAATAAATTTGGAGATGTCTGGTCATGTGGAGATTGATAGGAATAGCATCGTGATTAGGGGGTAGTCATGATTTCAATTTGAATTTGTGGTAATGCGGTATTAATTTTCGAATATTTTGATTAGGTTCTTGATCCGTGGGGTACTTTAGTACATGAATTGAGTGCTCGGTTTTATGCGATTTGAGGTAAGTAAATTTATGGTAATGCCCATACAGTTTTTAAAAGCATGTTTTGACTTATTTTTGAAGTGGTGACGAGATTAAACCCATTTTATACAAAAGTAAGTATGACTGATTTGAAGTGAAATTTTTATGCTTTTCATTAAATTGAGCATGCCTACTTGAAATTTAATTAATTGTCCTGATGATCTGAAAGTGGTTGGTGAATTATGGTTTTTCTGTTAACTTCTGCCGTTTTGTCTCCGATGTGGTTATGTTATTAGTGACCTTGCTAGTGGGGGTTATACACCAGCAAATAGTGTAGCCTGCCAGTGGGAGGCTTATAACACTGGCCATGATCTATAGAGGAGACATCTATTTCATTCCTGTACTGTATCTGTTTTTTGTGCTTACACTTGTTGGCATGCTATAAGTTTAATAAGTGGCACTCCATATTTCGCTTACTAAGTCTATCTCATAGTTTTTCCTTGTCCACCATTTCAGGAAGTGAAACCGAGGACGGGGAAACCACGGGAAGTGACGAGTTAGAAGGCTAGCCATTCTAATTGGATATAAGTTTTAGATTTTATCATCCTTTTGTAAGATAGATTTTATCTTGAATTTATGAGATCAAAACAGATTTCGATCATTAGATCAATTACTTGGATTTAAGTCATTTTGGATATAGAAATAAATTGAGATGTTTGATTTAAGTTATTGGATTGTCAGATGTGAATTTGATAAGTTTTGAGCCTTGTGCATTTGTGGGTCCCTCTCACGAGTGCACGGCGTCTGTCACGTTCCCAAATTTGGGTTCTGGGGTGTGACAGGTACTGTTCACGCACTTATGGCCAACAATTAATGGGGATTTAAATGTTTAGTTTGTAATAAAAGAACAAATTTGGAGATGTCGGATAATGTGGAGACTGATAGAAATAGCATCATGATTAGGGGTAGTCCTAATGATAATTTCACTTTCAATTTGTGATAGTGCGGTATTAATTCTAGAATATTTTGGCTAGGTTCTTGATTATTCTATCACCCTAGCTCTTGGAGTGAATTTTCTATGTTATGCGATTTGAGATAAGTAAATCATGGTAACGCCCTTCGATTTTAAGGCATATTTTAACTTGTTTTTGAAATGGTGGCGGGACTAAAACTGTTTTACACAAATATGAACATGACTGATTTGAAATGAAATTATTATGTTTTCCATTGAATTGAGCATGCATACTTGAAGTTTATTTAACTGCCTTGATGATCCGGAAATGATGTGTAAAGTATGGTTTTTCTGTTAACTTCTGCTTGTTTTGTCTCTGATGTGGTCATGTTATTAGTGACCCTACTAGTGGAGGTTTATAAACGCTAGCACATGTCAACATGTTATTGATAGAACCGGTTCATTCGAGTGACCCTGCTAATGGGGGTTATACACTAGTAAATAGTGTGCCTGCCAGTGGGAGGTTTATAACACTAGCCATGACCTATAGAGGAGATGTCTATTTCGTTCTCATACTATATCCGTTTTTCATGATTACACTTGTTAGCATACTATAAGTTTAATTAAGGGCTATCCATATTTACTTATTGAGTTTATCTCATAGTTTTTCCTTGTCCACCATTTCAGGAAGTGAAACTGAGGACAGGGAAACCACAGGAAGTGACGAGTTAGAAGGTTAGCCATTTCGAGATTGATATAGATTTTAGAAATAAATCATGCTTTTGTAAGATAGATTTTACCTTGAATTTATGAGATCAAAACAGATTTTGGTCATTAGATCAATTACTTGAATTTAAGTCATTTTGGATATAGAAATAAATTGAGATGTTTGATTTAAGTTATGGAGTGGTATCATAAGTTCCGAGCCTTGTGCATTTGTGGGTTCCTCTCACGAGTGTACGGCGTCTGCCATGTCCCCGGATTTAGGTTCTGGGGCGTGACATTACCATTCAAAATAAATGCATTTATAAAAAAATAAAATATGTTTGGAATAATTATTTAAAATAATGACTTAAAATATGTAAAAGTTTAATTATATTATATTTACTTAATAAATTTTAATTTTAGTTTTAGTTTTACTTAA